CTCACTTGTTGTCTTCACCCTCCTCCGACAGCCAAAGCATCTTACAAGCCACATGGTCTCTTTCCCCCTTGAAAAACTTTACAATGGCTTCCATAGCATGCAGGATAAAGTTCAAACTGCTTAAGCACCTATGTAATGCCTCCCCTAAGAATGCCATCCTATCTTTCCAGATTCATTCTTGTTATATCACTCTTAGAATTTTGAACATTCTCCATGATTCATATTCTCATTATCTCCATCTTTGCTCATAGACAGAAAATGCTCTTATATTGTGTATTTGGTGTTTCAAGTGCTCTCATTCATCAGGTTTCTCACAATACCCTTTCCAACCTCTTAAAACCATGAGGAATTCTGAGGTGGGAAACCTTGACCTCTCCAAGGTGCAAGTGCCAACAGAAGGGCACTGGCCAGCATTACTCAGAGACAGCATGCAAAATATTTTCCACAGCTGAACTCTCAGTGTATCTTGGCCAATCCATATATCATTAAAATTGTTTTTCCAGTCAGACAGCCTGATCAAGGGCAAACTTTCCATTAAGGTCTCTTTATTACCGTCCAGCCAATCTGCTTACCCAAGGAAAAGAAAACATAGCTTGCTGTTCCCAGACTTCGCAATTTTTCTCTCCTGTCTCTTCTATTAGTTACATAAATCTCATTTTTGCTTTATTTCCATACACCCATATACCCATATACAAGCACACTTTTAATGTGTTAATCAGACCTAATAAAGGTCTATAGTTCACACCTGCAAAGCCAACTCAAGCTTCCAAACCACAGACAAAAACAGGCATCACAGCCCAATCTTCTCTCAGACCTGTCTTCCCCCAGAAAAGAGAGCCTGTATTGCCCTATGTAAACTAACATACGCTGACCTTTGCGGGGTGTCACAGACTAGGAGCTTTGTGCTGTCAGTCATTTCCTGCTATGTGGATATTGGCACTTTCTTTCAGTTATTGTTATCACACTAGACGCAGCCCAGATTGTTTGCAGGAGTTTCAGTTTGGGCAAGTAAAAAGTGATGGAAAGGTTTTTGTTTTTTCCCTCCCAGTGCAATAATCCCCAGGATTCCCAGAGTAAGCTGTGGAGGTTGGCTATTGAGACTTCACTGCCAGGCTGCAGGTCTATACATACTTGTGTCATTTGGGCTGAGAAAGAGGTGGTAGAGAATCTCTCCTGCTTAAAACTAAGTGAAAACAAAACAAAACCCCTAGAGAACATTGGTATATAAATCCTATCTCCTAGCCATTTTGTTATTTGTTTGTCAATTTGAGCACAGCTTAGAATTCTGCTGAAAAGATAAATACCCACTTCATTGATATCCTGTGCTCACTTTGAAGCTCCTGTCACTTTTAACTAGGACTTTTACCATAGGCTCCTAGGTTTCTAAGACCTGTCTTCACACTTCAGCTAAGACCTCTGACTTTCATCAGAGTATCTTTCTAAAACACTGATCACATTTGAGGACTTTCCTGCTACAAATACATTAAGTAGCCCCTCACCGTCTTCAAGTTCATTGTCTGAATTACTTAGTAGAGGCTTAATGTTAGCGCTAACCTCCACATTACTGCCCCAAGCCTCTTAAATCTTACTTTCATATTGATGCCCAAGCCTCTTATCGGTTAACCTTGCCCTAAGCCTCTCATTCCAGGAAACCAAAACCCATCACTCCAGTCAGGCGGAATGGAATGAGGGAACCACCCTGTAAGGAATCGGGGGCGCCGCCGAATAAAACAGAGAAGAGACTGGAGAGCCAATCAGCCGAATAAACAGGGATCAGGCTTTATTGGGTGCACTCCGGGCGCGTTCACAGACTCCGGGGGTCGAGTCCTAGAAGCCGCGCTCAATGTAGGGGCTTGTGTCTTTTATATCTGCCTGTTGTAGCTGGAATTTGTCCCTTAGGGTTTGGCCCTGCGGGGGCTAGGCATGGAGCCTCTGGAATGTGAGTCGATAAGAGCAAGATGGGAGTTCATCTACAAGCTCGAGGCAGGCCGTTTAGGGTGGGAGACAAGGCTGAGCAAGGAGACAATGGTCGAGCACTTTGCCTGGCGCCAGTCCCCAGGCTATCGGACACACCCTAACCCACCCCAAACTGCAAGCGGTCCTGGATAAGAAAAACAAGTTTCAGGAGACCCCAGCCCCAATCAATCAAGGACAACCACGACTCCTGGGCTGAACGACCACCCACTTTAGTCTGGACTAGCCGGTTGCTGTTTTCTCCTTGGAGGCAGCCCGGCAGGTCTTTCCCTCAATAAACCTGCACACTGCTGGTTACTCAGCACCGTCTCGTTCTGACACTTAACGATGGGACACTTTTTTTTTTTTTAGCTCTATACTCCCCTTCCATCTTATAATATATAATTCATATGAAACTTCTGTATATTAAAAGGAAGAAACTAGGAAAAAATGAACAATTAAAGAATAAGCAAGAGGAAGAAGGAAGATAGGAAGTTGATTATCTCATTTAGAACCACATACAGGTTTTCTCTTAGATTAACTTGGCTTATATTTTGCCATCAAACGCCTTTTCCCCATTTTAGAAATCATTGTCTTGAATTTCCCCCTAAATCTGGTCTTTTCCCTGTCTTTCTCATCCTAATAAACAGCTATAACTTCTCTGCATTGGCTCAGGTCAATGATCTAGGAATCATTGCTCACTCTTCTCTTACTACATTTCCCTTTCCAACCTATCAGCAAATCCTGATGATGGTAGCCCAATATATCTTTCAAATTCCTACATTTATTGCTACCTCCTCCTTTAATATAACCACATTAGTCCCATCCATAAGCATCTCTTATCTACTCTTCTTCAGTAGCCTCTCATCTGGTATTCATGCTTTCATTCTTATCCTACTACAGTTCATTCTCCTGTAGCATTTACTCATTGTCTTAAAATCCAGATTGCATCAGGTGACTTATTGTTCAAAATCCTTCAATGGCTTCTCGATGCATGTAAAATACAGTCTATACTCCTTGCCCACAGGCCCCTTGTCTCTCTCAGACTCTATTTTTCCAGCTCTCTCCTGAGCTCACTAAATCAGCTACTCTAGTCTTTTTCCATTTCCTCAAATTTACCAAACTATATCTTGTCTTTGAAAATGCTCTCCTGTCATTTTGCCTTTCCCAAGGGGTCTTTGCACTCTTTATGTTGGCTATCATTTTTATTTTTGCTTTTTCTTAAGCTCTGTGAGAACCAAGAGTTCAGAAACCCTGTGTTTCTTGCACACTTTTATACCCCCAACTACCTCTGCATTATTCTTGGCACATACTTTCCTAAATATTACCTGTTGGACAAAGAAACCACGGAATCAGTGTAGTACAAAGCACAGTTAGAAGTCTTGTTATTCGGAAGCGGGAAGGGCATCTACTTCACTGAGACCAGAAGGAAGGAGGAAAGGAGAGATACAAATCCACAAGGGTTGTAGATTTGGGCTAGGAAGTTACTTGAACACTTCGATTTCCTCTCTACCCTAGGAGGACAAATCCCCTACTAGAATTAATAACTAGGTTATCGGTGTAAGGTTTGAAGAGAGACACTGAAATTTAAATAACTGCTGAAAGGAATGGGTAAATTACTAGAAGAAATGGTAAACGGTTCAGGTGTGTTGGAGACCATGACCTTGTAAATGACCTCAGTCAGTAGAGTTGAGAGATTTTCTGCAGCTCTGCTCAGCAGAGTAGGCTTTGAAGAAAAATCAGTTAGCTTCATTGAACCAATGTTTAAAATGGAAAGATAAGTGTGAGGAAAGTTTAAAGGGGTTAAAATCTTTGAGAACAGTGGTGAAAGTGATTGAATTAATTAACAGATGTCTTAGATTGAGTAGATAAAGAAGTGAAGTCAAATGGGTGTTACTAGCTTGTGACAAAATGGAATGGGAACAAGTGAACTCCCTGCGGCTGCCCTGCCGGAGGGCCAAAGGGGCAGGGAGAGGCGGGGCAGAGAGATCTCTTTAGAATAAGACAGGATGTCTTCCAAGATCCTTTTATACCTGACAACACTTCAACTTCTATAAGACTACGGTATCTTGAATGACAAATGAGGCAAGAATATTTTATGGAATGTGTGATAATAAGGTGATTCATGTGGCAGTAGTAAAACAAGGCCACCTCAGGTGCTATTAACAATTTGTGCATTTCAACAATTTCTGGAGGCAGTTTGATAAATACAGATCACCAGCAGGTTATACTCAGAATGTTTTCCCTCTGGCTGAGCTGGGTGAGCATTCCTCCAAGAATGTATTTAATGAGGCACTGCACTAACCAGCCATTCCTGAGCTCTGTAATGTCTCCCTGAGTATGGATGGAGCTTATCTCCTAATAAATGAGTTTGCTCAAATGTCCCTTACCTCTACAGAACATATTAAGAGGAATCAAATATCTTTAGTTGTTTACCTCAATTAACAAACATTATTGATGAAATAAAGTTACTTCACGTATGACTTAGCAATAACATAGCAAAAGGACAAATCAGAACATAATTTTCAGCAGAATCATAACAGATAAGTGAAAATCAGATGTGTATCAAGAATAAAAAATACACGTGCATAATACTTTACAAATCTTGTCATATATACTTTGTTTATTTGATCCTCACACAAACTTGTGAGGTGTTATCATTGCCTGCCTATATCACAGATGAGAAAACTGCTTTAATGATTTCTTGGAGTTGTCTAAGGTCACTGGTGAATAGTTTTTCACCGAATATAATTCACATCCTCATTTTTCCAATAGTAGTACATTTTGGAGGTAGTATGTTATGTGGACAGCTTAACATTACACAACTGAGTGGTGTCTTGGAAAGGATCTCACCCAGGCTTAGTTCAGTTACTGCTCCTGGAACTGGGGTGTGCAGAGAGGCTCCCATAGGAAAATGCATTTCTACCATTACTCCACTGGGTGGCAGTAAAGGCCACCACTAGCGACTAGTATTTATCACTATAGACACTTGGCTTTAAGTAGTCAAAAACGGGAAGGAGGGAAGAAGCAGAGCAATGCTATCCAAGTTAAAAAAGGGTGCATATGTGTGTTCACAAGGCAGAGGGACCAAAAAATGAATAGAACTGTTACTGCACTCTGTGCAGTGTCCAGAGTGAAAAATAGAACCAGAGCAAAAGAAAGACCTTGATATTTGGCACTTTAATATTTGGCTGTTTTCCTAGCCCCTACCTGCAATCCCACCCCTGGATTCTGGATGTCCAGTTAGGTGTTACATGATGTTCAAGATCACCCTTGTCATTCATTATAGAAGTGGGTGTTCTCTCAAGAGCAAACGTGAATTTGGTGCATTAATGCTGATGGTTGTCTTTCTCCTTAAGTGTATTCTTTCTTATCTGTGAGCTGGCAGAGAAAGCAACTTGCAGTATTATATGGGTGGAACTCAGCAGTTCAAGGAATTCAAGAAACCTCTGAAGCATTGCTAGAGGTTTGTTGCAAATCTTGGCATTGGATGAACAGTGAGAGTTCTCAGAGCATTCCATATCAGAAAATATGTGGCTGGAAACGAAGAATCGGAATCCATGTTTTCCACTGAATGATGTTTAGATGGCATCCTAAGTCTTCTGAAAGTTAGCAATAAAATGTTCCTTTTGTCTATCTTAACCAACTCTGGAGATACCCGCACCCCATTTACACAAGCCAAGTCCCCATCAATTTGAAGAGTGTTCGCCTCCAGGAGCCTCCTTCTCTGTTGTGGGCAGCTGGTTTTCCTCTGGCACTGGAGGTAGGTCAGGTGCTTTCTGCCCACACCTTGCGACAGTGAAGCGACTCATGTGAAGAGCTTCCTCATACCCTGGGAGGGTGTCCACGGAGGAGGGCAGCTGGCCCAGAGGGCTGTGGGAGTGGGCCACTGCCAGGATTCTCCGAGCCGCAGGGCCGAACACGGACTGCAGGGCTTGTGAGGGAAGAAGGTATAGAGGAAAGTAAACATGCTATCCTCGGAAATCAGACTTACAACACACTTAATTTCTCTTGACTTCTAACAAGTGTCCTAACTCATGGTCAACCGTCTGCCACAAATATTATGAAAATCCTGTGAAGCTTGTTTAGAAACCAAGTTCACTTTCTGCTGGAAGACCCTGTCTCCCCTGGTATCCTGGAATAATCTAAATTGGGTTCCCAACCACTGGCAGATTTTGAACCCTTCAGAAAACCAACCCATTGATGTTGCAAGCTCCTTAGAAATACTTATTTCTGCCTTAGTTACCTTTTCTCAAAATGATTGTAAGGACTGGGAGACAGGAAAGGTGAGCAACAACACACTGCATTGTTCTCTTTACAAAATAAAAATTACGGTGTTTTGCCACCTGTCACTCTGCCTGGTAGTCACTCTCCAATTTTAATAGTGAATATAATATACAGAAGAGAACAGAAGAAAATTAAGTGTCTTATGATCATCAAAGGGATGTTGGGGCTCATACTTACTATATCAAGACTTGGAGAATGAAGAGCTGAAAGTATACACAACAAATTTCTCTAAATCTATAAACATTACAGGTAGAAAAGGTGGGTTTATAGAAAATCCAAGACATTTTTGAAAAAGGGATATGCTTAAAGCTTAAAATAATTTTATTAAAAATAACTATTTATGAACTGGGTAATTCTTCTTACAAAACATTTCCAACATTGTCTCCAGCATTTTATTTCCTCCTTCACTCTATCATCAGTCAAGAACCATGTTTGGGAATACAGCGTTTGAGAGTTCCCAGGTCACTGCCTCATCAGGCTTCTGGTGATTAAAAGCACTCTGAGTTCTAGAATCTTTAATATCCAAGGCACTGTTTGTATCCCCTTGTACCATCCTAATCGTTTGTTTAAACCCAGGTTCACTTCCCATGTAAACAGTTATTGTACTCACAAGTGATTGTGCTCTGGAGAGTGTTGTCATGATCAAAAGCGATGACTGTCACTTCGTAGGGTGGCCGGCCCTCATCTTCCCCGTTTTGCTGGCGGCTCAGACAGCAGCGGAAACACACAGAAGTCAGGCCACACAGGAGAAGCAGCACACCAATTACCACCAGCAACCTGCAAGGAGCCCACGGGTCAGTGAGCCCTGGGACCTGCTTTGTTTCCCAGCTTTGGCATAAATCAGCTGTCCATGTCTGCAGTGTGATTCTTTTTTTTTTTTTTTTTTTTATCCTCCCCCGAGGATATTTTTCCATTTTTTGTACAGATAGAATGGGAGGGAGAGAGAGGAAGAGAGAGAGAGAGAGAGAGAGAGAGAGAGAGAGAAACATCGACGTGAAGGGACACATTGAGTGGCTTTCACCCGCACGACCAACCAGGGCCGGGGACAAACTACAACGGAAGTACGTGCCCTCAGCGGGAACCGAACCTGGGTCTCCCCGGACCACAGGCCGACGCTCTAACCGCTGGGCCAAACTGGCCAGGGCTGCAGTGTGATTCTTGTGTGAACATTTTATAGAGTAATTCTAAGATTTTGATTCCAAGGCTTTCACTTCATATATATTCTTTCTGATTTCGTCAGCAGGGCTCAGTCAATTCGTTAAAACAAACAGAAAGAGACTTAATGTGGTTTGGAAGAGCTGCTCTTTACTTTACTGAAGTAATCTCTATGGGCTATTTCCAGAGCTGATCTGAGCATGTACACAATCATCTGTTGATGTTGGCTGAGGAGATGGTATTGAAATAGGAAATCCTGGCATGTTGTCAATAGGGTAGTTCTGAGGTAAAGAAACTTGATTCCATGTGATGCTAGGCAAGTAGGCTGGCTGTGTCACACACATTTTGTTCCTGCTGCCAAATATTTTAAAATTAAAGAAACTATATATATATATATATATATATATATATACACACACACACACACACACACACACACACACACACCCCTCTGAGAAAAATAAAGCCCCCTTTAAATGTTTTGTGAGAATTATGGATGAAACTTACCATATGTACCAGAGATGTACCCAATCTGTGGTCAGGCAACTATGAAGAAAGAAAGTTTTTGCAATAAAAATATAGTCAATGCCTGTTAGGATTCCAGAATCAGAACAATGAGTTATGATGATGTGATACCTTGTTATAATAAAAACATCACAGGTTATATTAACTTCAAGGTAACCAGCTGAATCTATTATTTAAGAGATGCTTTAAATAGTTTTATATTATAGATGGCATTGTGTAAATCATTATAAGACAGACAAAAGGAGTGACCATGAAATAGTGTTAATAGACAATGTAACCATGACCATTGTAAACAGTTATGACAGTTACTAAGAAAGGACTTCCAATGCAAGTTTAAAAGAGTTTGAAAATGGATGTGAAAGTTAACATATGTGTATACTTGAGATCAATAAAATTTAAACATAAAGAAAATTTCAATTATAAGAATGAAAGCAATACAATGAAGTTTGTAGTTTATCTATTGCAAGTTGTTGCAAAAAGGGCCACCAGAAAACCATAAAAATTCCCAGCGTAAAAAGGGCCCTACATTTTCACATCCAGAATCAAAACAGATATATGTAATGGCTGAGGCCAAAAAAAACGGGGTGAAAATGTACAAACCAACTTCATCATGGTGAAAGCTAATTAAATATACTGAATTCACTAGGACAATTATAAACTTTCTCTATTGGGATAAAAATATGGATTGCATTAGAGAAGGAGTATGGAATAAGCTCAGGAGTGGGAAGGGGAGAGGAAGGAAGTGTTTTCCTTTAAAGATGAGTATATTTAAAACTTTCCGATACATTGATCTATTGAAATCAATTGACATGCATGCCATATCCTCTCTTTGGTTGTGCATTTGTGAAATATACGGTTGGCTTTTCCACCAAACAATGTCTCCTCCAGGTCCCTCCTCCCCCTTTTTCCTCTATTTTGTTCGTCAGTTTATTTTGTTCTTTAAATTCCACATATAAATGAGGCCATGTGGTATTTGTCTTTCTCTGACTGGCTTATTTCACTGAGCATGATCATCTTCATTTAAACATTCCTCATTTGCTCAAAGCCCCTTCTAGTTCTACATTACAATTCTGACTCTATTAAAAGTGACTATTCCTATGGTGATTTCTAAAACCTCAGAGAGAGTGTGAAAGTAACCAAGGCCATTACCATTTCCCTTGGGTGTAACGTACTTATTGAGAAACTCTTCCCATGGCTAAATATGTGTTGTTCTTCAGCCAGAGTAAGTCTTGTTATCCAAACTACCCTCGATTGTTTTTATGAATTTACCTCCAAGTGGAAAGAATCTTTTCCCTTTTTACCTTTGAATCTTTTGTGTTTACATAAGACCTAATTGTAACAGGTTTAGATTAAGGGGTAACTCTCTCAAAGTAATAGCTAAATAAAGTCTGCAATAAATATTAACATGCCCTAATAAATATAAAAATGCTCTCCAGATTTGAAGAGGCAATGCACCATTGGAAATCACCTACATATATCTGCCTGTAACTAAGATAATGAATCCAGTCAGTCTGTCTTAATGAATCACTGAAAACATGAGTAAGAAAGTCTACTGAAAACCTCTATGACTGCAAAATTTAGATTAAGTCTGCCGCTTTGATGGGAAGATTGGCTTTGGAAAAAATGCTGTCAGCAGTGTTACTTTGAGTCTTTAGGATGACACAGATGCATGTCCTTACTTTGGGATAACCCTGGGATAACCCGTCTGTGAGATAAGTGGATGGAAGCCCATTTAAGTAGAAATAAGGGAAATCACAGATATCTGATGACATTTTGACCCTGTTTTGATGCGTTGATGTTTTTGTCTTCCCTTTCTTCCGTATTTGGACTCTCAGATACTTACTGTTCAGGGCTGACACAGTTCTCCTCACATCTTGCCCAAGGAAGCTGTAGGAAGGGAAACAGTCTCAGACAGGGAAATCGTATGATCCTGTCTGCCCGACAGCCACCCCCCGAGACTGTACTGCGTTACATTAGTCAGTGAGAGTGGGATAAATATGAGGACAAGGTCATAGGGTCAACCATGTTTAGAACTGTCTCTTTTCGTCTCTTCTATGCCTATTCATTACTGCAGTTGAGGCGGGAGAACCTAGAAGAGCAAATATCTCATCTTTCTTTCCTTTTTTTTTTTTTTTTTTTTGGTGGTGGCTGACTATCACTGCCTTTGTGAATGAGAGGCAGCATTTATACGAATTTGTTTGTCCTAGAAATTTCCTGATCTGTCCCTCAGGATATTTTCATTGTCCTCCTAGTCCATTCCCAGTGTAAGGTGAATTCTACCCCATGCTCTTTTTCATTCCCTCAGTACATCAATAACTCACATACACGAGAGGAAGGGGAAAAGCTCATTTATTGAATAGCTACTAAATGCCAGTCAGACGGCTAAGAATTGTTAATATTTTATAACATTTCATCATGATAACTGTGTAAGTGGGTATATTTACCCTTATTTTAAATAGTTAAGGGGCTTCCCTGGCCAGTTTTGTTCAGTGGTTAGAACGTCGGCCTTCAGACCAAAGAATCGTGGGTTCAATTCCCAATCAAAGGCACATATCTCAGTTTTGGGTTCGATCCCCAACCCCAGTTGGGGTCGTGTGGGAGGCAACCAATTGATGTGTCTCTCACATTGATGTTTCTCTCTCTCTCTCTCTCCCTCCCTCCCTTCCTTCCACTCTATCTAAAAAAAAAAAATCAATGGAAATATCCTGAGGATTTAAAAAAAAAAAAAAATCAATGGAAAAAGTAGTTAAGGGACTTAGGCATAAGGGTTTAATAATGTGATCAACTGTACACACCTCTTGATTTGGCCACAATTCAAATGAATGAAACTCGCCCTGGAAGGTTTGGCTCAGCAGTTAGAGCGTCAGCCTGCGGTCCCAAGAGACCTGGGTTCAGTTCCCTTTAAGGGCATGTAACTAGGTTGCGGTTTGTCCCCGGCCCTGGTTGGGTTGTGCGGGTGGCAGCCACTCGATGTGTCCCTTTCACATCGATGTTTCTCTCTCTCTTCCTCTCTTTCCCTCCCACTCTATCTGAACAAAAAATGGAAAAATGTCCTTGGATGAGGATTTTAAAAAAATTAATCAAATGAATGAAACTCAATTATATATATTAGAACCAGGAATAATCTGCCTTGACATTGCTAGCAAGTCCCTTCAACTCTTGTAAAGAAACCTTCCACTCCTTCTACCTTATATTTCAGTTGACTTTCTCCTTCAAACGCCTAAGTATGCTTCTGTTCTGGAAACTGTTTCTCTCTTCCAATAAATGGAAAGACTTGATAATTCAGGAAATAAACTACAAAGACTACAAAGGTCCTCTAAAAAGAGACAGGGATTTATACTTACTTTATGAGACTTTATGGGTGGGTGGGGGGACACACACATATACTTGTGACATATCAGAAAAGGACTTTGTACAAGGACTAACAGCTGTCCCCTGCTGATAACATTTGAAGAACTGGTTTTGTTTTCATTTAAAATAGTTGGCCACAAAGGATAACAAAGGGTGTGTTTCTTCAACCCAGTCTTGGTACTTTGTTTCATTTTCTTGACTAAAGGCTAGAACTCAGCAGATAAAAATGCCTCTTTTCAGGCCTGTCGCAAAAAGAGAATAAAAGAGAAAAGAAGGGGAGGTAAGGCCAACGGAGAAAAGAAGCAGCAAAAGGAAAATACAAGGAAAAGAAAAAAAGAAAAGGAAATGGACTTTCAGACATTAATGTAATTGGTATATAGGAAGCGAAACAGACAGCCCACGCCTTGCTAGGAGCTGTGCGGAACATGACAGTAGCCAGTTTCTTCATCTGTTTTCCTTCGTCGATTTCAGAGCTGAGTAAACTTCCCCTTGGTAATTATCCAGAATCCCTAGTCCAGTGATCCCTTGCCCCGCCTAATGAATTACTCAGGGGCTTCTGAATTTTAGTGGGGATAAATGAAAGATCTGAAGTATTTTTAAAGATTTTCCCCTCTTTTAACTTTTTCTCATCTGGAGGCACCTTTAAAATCCAAGAATAGTATTAGGGCTGACTTGGGAAACTCTGTGTAGGAGAATTACACAGCTAGTTTTCATCACTTACTGAAGAATTTGAGGGATGGGTAATAAGATGCCAAAAGAGGGAAGTATGCATACATAAATGATACTTCTAAATTGCTATAGCTAGCATACTTGTATCCATGAGTGCCCGAATTTCTGTCCCCTTTCACTGATGTTTTCATTCCTCATACCTGCACTATGCCACCTATAATACCAAGGAACCATTCTAGTTATTCATTTCCCACAATCCCCTTGGTTCTATTATATGTATTTCCTCCTCACTCATTTTCCACCAGATTCGTCTGATGGTTGGTTTATCTGAGAAACAAAAATGAAAGCTTTATTCTTGCATTTTCACAACTTACCTGGATGAAGTACACCAGGGCAGAGGCCCACACGGTGTGGACTCGCACTCCCATTGGGCTGAGCTCCTGTGTCTCCAGGATCACGCACTGGGTGTCTGTTACCTCCTTCCCATGCTCTGCGCCTTGTCTGACTTCTTGACCTAGAGAACTTAGGAGAGAAACTTCTCTTAGCAATAAATCACTGTTTCCTTTTCTCTCGTTCTCTCTTCGTATTCCCCTGGGCCTTTTTTCTGTGGTCTTGCCCCTCCCTTTCATCCTGGCTTCTTTCTCCTTTGTATTTCGGCTTTTAGGGTCTCCACATTTGCTTTGCTTTGTTTTTTCTTTCCTTCTCCTATCAATCCTTTCTATATGTCTTAAAATTTCTCCCACGACCCCCAAAAGAAAGACGATCAAGGAGGAAACATTAGTCCTCTGAATGAGGTATTTTTCTAGGCAGCGATGAGACACGACGTTGAGGAGGACCCAAGGCAGACTGCTCCCCTTAGAAAAGAAGAGATGCTCTTGGCTTCCCACCACCGCACATCAGGCTGACTGGTGAAGGTCGAAAGTCACCCTGCCAAACTCCATTCACTCCACCTCCTCGTGATTAGCCCTCCTCTCTTGTTCTTTGAAACCCTCCCCTCACCATGTTGATAATCAACTCTCCTGGTTCTGGGTCATTTATTCCTAACTATTGGAATAAGACTGAGAGGTTGCCAACTGAACTGGAAAGCCATCCCATCTTTGGAGAAAGCCGATTTGGAGATTAGAATCTCTGGGTCCTGTCCATGAAATTCCCCTCTACTCTGACTTAAACCCCCATCGAAACAAATAGACATTTTTTAAAAAAACTGGGTTCCAAGATATCTCTGTCTCTCTCATAAAACTTAGATGAGAACAAACATAAGCACATATAGAAAAGACCTAGAATATTTGTAAAGAAGCATGTCTACAAAAACAAATGCATTTAAAAGATTTATACTTAAATTGGTAATTATTCACTTAATATAAAAGTATTTAAAACATATTTTTGATACAAAGTATTTCATAAGAAAATTAGACATTAGTTTATAGAGATATATCTATCTCATGAGAACTAAATAAAACCAATTTTCAGATCCTTTCTAACTCTGGAAGTCTAATTTCACTGAGTGATTGTCCTCTAATTTTACCGAGTGAAGGTTCCGGGGAATGGTTGAGTGGGATTAATTCTAAGAGCCCTCACACAGCATAACGATATGGTATGACAATGGAGCATATAAAATATTTTTTTTTCTCAACTAAGGAAATCAAAAGGCGAGAGAAAAACCTAGTACGACACTGAGGATTCAAAAACAGTCAGTTCCAAAGCTAAATGAGCAGAACCATTTTTTTTTTTTTTTCTTTGTAAGGAAGTTGGTGTTAGGGTAAGCAGTACTTTCCAACTTTTAGCAGAAAGCTTGGCCAGGTATTTAATAGGAAAAGGAAAGCAGAACTGTAACCCAAGCTCCACTGAGTCATCACGTTGTTTCTCAGTCCTTAATCTTCTCATTCACGTAACAGGGCTGCTCGTCCTCTTGACCTGTCCCAGATCTTGTTTCATGGAGAAAATGCAATCAGAGACAAGAAAGCATTTTGATTGTAATATTCTTGCCATGTACATGAGTAGCATCATTCACCCTTCCTTTCTCTTTCTCGTCAGAAAGATAATATTGCATTATGGCGAAGAATCCAGCTAGGTTTTCTGGAATTAAATACTTGCTTTGTCACTTACTGTGGTATATTGGGCAAATTATTACATTTCTCTGTTGGTTAAGTTTCATTCTATATAAAATGGGGCGATAATAATTATGATGATGTTTCTTCATAGATTTTTAGGGATCAAATAAGTTAATGTGTGTGAAATGCATATAATTGTTCTGCTATAGCAAGCATTTTTAAAGTGTTAACTCTGATGATACTGATTTCCACTCACTTTTACCAATGACCTTCATCTTCCTGGGAAACTGATGTCCTCCATGCTTCTCATTGTTACCATCGTCATGTTTTACCTTTTCTGACATTTCAATTCATGAATAGTTGCCCCTGCTATCCTGACCATCTCTTCTCCCAATCATGCCAGCCTTCACCTGCATGAACAGGTTTGCCAATTAACAGGATTTTTTTCCTCCCAGAGCACTTTCCTGCCCAGGTATCGCCATCAACTTTTTGCCCTACAGCTTCTTAACAGGTTTGAGCAAAACTGGATTCTGTTAATGCCCTCCTAGCTACTTTTCTTTCTTAAAATTACTATTGCCACCCCCCGAAAAAAAGAGACTTTTTCATTGGGTTATTCCCTGGAGAAATAGAGACTTTTGTTTATCCTAATGAAAGTGATTATGCCTTGTGGCCATTTTAACCCTAAGCTCACCCCCGCTCAAGAAGAACGAGGATCCAGGAAGGAAGACTGAAGATGGTACACAGTGGCATGGCAGGTAGCTGAGGTAAAGGGGTGGATCTCATTACAATCCTACACGGTCTTGTAGTTCCATGAAGCTTGTGAATCATTAGCTTATACACAGGTTGTTAAGGACTTGGAGTGGAACAAATAGAGGGCACATGTACACAAGGTTTTTAATCTATGCTTCAGGGAATTGTTATACAATAGCTGTAATAAGTGGGGCTAAAGAATTACTTATTTCTGGTTCCTTTTGACCTTGCCTAAGTCAGGTGAGCAGATTCTCTTCCTCTCTGTGCCTCGGTGAAGTAGAGGCCAGGACTATCATTATGAAGCATCAAGCATGGATTAGAAAGAACTGAGCAGCAGCCGTGGCTTCAAAAGTGAATAACACAGCAGAAGAATCCAGTTCTGTCTTGTAACCACTTCACTAGGAAGTGTCTCTATCGAATGAACCAAGATTGCAGCCTGAGTATCGAGTGGCAACCTCAGAGGCATTGGAAGTCAGTGACGAGATTAAATTTTGGGAAGTTTAACGAAATAGGAGGATGAAGTTTATCAAAAGATTATTAGTTTTATGTGCCACGTAACACATTACCACAAGTTACATGAACAGCAATGTAAAACAGCATTTATGATCTCAACCGTCTGTCAGAAGTGTGGGCACGGTTTAAGTATGTCCTCTGGTTAGGTTTCACAGGCTGTCATCAAGATGTCTGCAGGACTGTGTTCTCCTCTGAAGGCTCAGCTGGGGAGGAATACACTTCCAAGCTCCCTCTGGTAAATTTGCTTCTTTCTGGTAATGGGATTCCTGTAGGTTTTCTTTGCTAAATCCAGGCAGAGAAAGAGAAGAGGGAGAGAACCGTTAGCAAGTTTGGCACTATACCTTATGTAATCACCTCCATCATCACATACATCCCATCACCGTTCTCACACTCCAAGCCACGAAGCCCACCCACATTCAAGGTGAGGCGATTACACAAGGGCATAAACACCAGGAAGCAGGGATAACGAGAAACACATAAAGCCTGTCAAGTCTGTTCAGCTATCTGCGCCTTAAGGATTATAGAAATTATCCCTCTGGATCTTTAAAAACAGGAGAAACCCAAATGTCTACCAATGGATGAATGGATAAACAAAATGCGCTCTTTACATACAATGGAATATTACTTAACCTTAAAAAGGAAGGAAATGCTGATACATGCGACAACTTGGATGAATCTTGAAAACATTATATTAAGTGAAATAAATCAGATTCAACACAACAAGTATATATGCTTCCACTTATATGAAGTACCTAGAGGAGCGAATTCACAGAGACAGAGAATAGAATGGGAGAAGCTGGGAGAAGGAAGGAATGGGGAGTTGTATAGTCAGGGTGTTCCAGAGAAACAGAACCAATAGGATATGTACACTGAGAAAGACTGATGATAAAAAATTGGCTCATGCCAACTATAGAGGCTGGCAAACCTCATTGTGTAGTGTGGGCCAGCAGGCTTGGGACCCAGGAAAGCCAATGCTGTAATTCCAATCTATGGCTGTCTGGGGGAGAAATTTTCTTATTTGGAGAAAGGTCAGCCTTTTTGTTCTGTTTAGGCCTTCAATTGATTGTATGAGGCCCATAATGGAGGGAGATATGCTTTAGTCTAGTGATTAAACTATTAATGTCACCCCAAAACACCCTCAAAGAAACACCCCGTGGCTCAGACAAGTTGACACATGAAAATGACTATCAGAGGAATTATTGTTTAATGAGTACAGAGTTTCAGTTGGAGAAGATGAAAAAGTTCTGGAAATTAAGTGTGGTGATGGTTGTCCAACAATATGAATGTACTTATTGCCACTGAACTGTATATTTAAAAATGGTTAAAATAGTAAAAGTTTTGTTATGTAAGCTTTACCACAAAGAAACCAAGAGAGGAACTGCTTGTTTCTATCCGGCTTGGATGGGGTAAGGAAAAAAAGGCTCTGTGCTGAGGAGCCAGATCACCCAGAAGACAGCGACTGATCTATTCAAACTGTCCATGCTGTGGCTTCTCATATGAGCGTCTAGTTTGAGGGAAGTAAAGGAAAAATTTGAGGGTGACCCTAGTGTGGGTTTTCCGTACCTCACACTGTACTTTTAAAATCTTCTATGGAATGGATGGTCTCTGCCTTGGTGAAGTGAAAAGTCTCTTACTGAATTATTTCAAGAGATGTTCATAATGATTTTATAATATCTCAGCCATCACCTTTGGTTTTTATTAACGTGCACAATTGAAAGAACTGTGAACCAAGTTCTTGCCTGGCTTCTGATAGAAAAGAGATATTCAGCAAAACACTTACACTTTTTGAGTTTCAGTTCCACTTCCTCAAAATAAAAGAACTGAGACAGAGTTTTGCTAAATTAAAACCTAGCTTATGCTGTGTGTGTTTATAGTTAAGAGTCTCATGTATTAACTGTCTACTCTTTGCATAATATTACACAATCTGTATGGTGTGCCAGCATAGTAGAAAATAATGAATTTTATTAGTAAAAAGGGATCTATCCTTGTTGGTGGTGGTGAAACAGCACCAGATGGTAGACCCGTGGGGTCAGACTGGACCTGAGTTCAGCAACCTTGGTACCTGAGTTCTGGCTAGGAAAGAATTCAGAGACAAGACCCAAATTATAAGTGAAAATTGATTTGAAATATCATAGAGGTAGGAGAAGTAATTCGTAGAAGAAATGGACTTAAGAAACAAGTTGTAGAAGTAAAGAAAGGGCCCTTGGAGCTTAGAAGTGAGGAAGGTAATAGTGGTGACTGGCCTGGGGGGAGGGGGAAGAGGAAGGGAACGAGAAAGGTGCTGGTGTGCTCCTGGGAGGGACGGCACGCCCTGGGTCCTCCATCCTAAAGGTCTGATGCAGGGGTAGGGAGCCTTTTGTCTGCCAAGGGCCATTTGGATATTTATAACATCATTCAAGGGCCATACAAAATTATCAACTTAAAAATTAGCTTGCTATATTTGGTCAGGCTAATTTGGTGAGGAGTGTGATGTTAGCTGGTATTGATTTTTCGAGCCTTATATAGCCTGGCCTGTGGTCCAGACATTCCCCATCCCTGGAAGGGATAGAGATTTAGGGGAGATCCCAGGGGAAGATCTCAATATTCAATAGCTTTCCAGGTGTGTCCTTTCAGGGTTTAAGTCTCCACTGGTTGACTGGTCAGGGCCAGGGCAGGGCTCATTGTCCAATGCAGTTGGTCTTGAGGTCAGCCGTGGGGTCACTTGCCTGGTTTTGCTGCTTTTCTGGGCCTGGAGCTGAAATACAACTGAGGCCTGAATATTATCTCTCGGGAGGAAAGGTCAGAGGGTCCCAACCGCATGGCCAGTGATATGCTAGAGGAGGAAAGATCATCCTGGGCATGAGGTTGGAGCCCACAATTGTCCTTTGCTAGGCACCTGCGGCTTTCCACCCTGGTGACTTCTGTACCTGGCCCATTGTCCTTGCTCTGCTCATGTCTGTCTAACTGCCTACCTCATCCTTATCATTAAAGGTACTACCATTTAGCTGGTAAGGTGGAATAACATTAAAGGGATTTAAAATCTATACATGCACTGTGAGATATATAAAATGAGGGGAGAAAAGAAATTAATGATGGTAATTTTACCTGTAGATGTTAAGTCGAGAGGATTTTTTTAAAAGAAGGAAATAAATTGTATTTGAAGGGAGTACAGAATTTGTAAAGCTCATCATCAGGTCCTGGACTGCTTAGTGAACTTCCCATGAGTATCAACCCAAAGGAAAGTGGATGATTATGCTCTGTTGGGTCTTGTCAATGAAGTGTGGAGATGAATATCAGGTCTGAGAGATCTAGCTCAATCTTAGGCCTCCTCTCAAGAATACAGTTCTTTCTGGTGCTGTGCATATCTTTGGGTGTTTTAACTATGTAGTCATATATATCTTTGTGAGACACTTCTTCCCAGGACAACCTATAAAGAGTACTAGTGAGACAGGTTAGTAAGCCAGGACAAGTGAAATAGGGAAACGGAGACAGATAATTAAATGGCCAAGCAGTTTGCAGCCATCTAGCAAATCACAAATTCCTATCTTCCCTAACCAAGGACACTTAAGACGAAATGGTTTACATTTCTCCCCAACCAGAAGGTATAGCTTAAATCACCCTACTCAGGGAGATAGACAACCAAAATCCAATTAGTGCTATTTGTGTCAACCACTCCAAAATATGTTAGAAGTCAAGGGAATAAATTTCTTTTTGGTGCCTCAGAATAAGGGTGATGAATATTCTATTGAGATTCTCCCCTGAGACCTTCCCTAACATTCCCGCCTTTGGAAAACAGATAAAAACATTAAGACAAAAAACCTAGCACATGCTCTTTCTCTCTGGAACATGGCCACACCCACCCACACCCACCCACCCCCTGCAAGTTATCTTACTTTTCTCCCTTCCAAGCTCCAAGGGCCTTTCTTTTGCCTCTGTAACTCACTTTCTGAGCCCATGCAGCCAAGCTGGCTCACTTCTACTACCTCTATAACTTTCTAAGTAAACCTTCCCTTACAATGTGAGTTCCCTGGCTCTGAGCTCTTTCTTTGCCAAACTCAAGAACTGAGGTCTCATGGCCTGTAACATCTAGTACTGTTTCACTGATAACACTAGGATGTGATGTGCTCACAAGAAATATGTGTTGTCCATTTCACCAACAAGTATACTTTTGTGTCTCACTTTAATCCACTAGACTATTGATGGTTTACAAAATAATTGAGTCATTGTAGGGGAATGATAAGGTGTCCTCTTCATTGTGATATCATTTCAGTGTCTATTAATTCATTATTAAAAACAATTTCCCGAGATTCTATTCATGTGAAACTCACCATGGTGAATGGAAAAATGGATCTAATCTTGCTTCCTGGCACCCCCAGTCAAAGTGGGATGAGGCTTGGATGATAAAGTCAAGCTAATTTCACTGGAATATATTTGCTGTGTGCTGAGCTTTTGTGTGTGTGAGTGTAAACTGTGTTTAGAATAAAACTTTAAATGGCAGATAAACTGTCTTCAATTTGGTCTCAAATATTCTGCAGAAAAAAGGGAATCAAAAAGCCTAGGGAATGGGGGGGGGGATTGAATCCTAATTAGACTGTTGATATTGGTGATTTTTCTTTTTCTTTTTATCTTTATTTTTGAAAGTATTACAGATGTTCTTCCTTTTCCCCCCACTGACGCCCTGTTCCCCGCTCCCTCCACCTGTCTTCACTGCACTGTTGTCTGTGTCCATTGGTTCTGCATATATGCATATAAGTTCTTTGGTTTATCTAATCTGGCTCCCCACCCACCCTTCCCTCTGAAGTTTGTCAGTCTGTTTCCTTTTTCCATGTCTTGGACCTATATTGTTTGTCAGCTTATTATGTTCACTATATTCCATAATTAAGTAAGATCATGTGGTACTTGTCTTTCTCTGACTGGCTTATTTCACTTAGTATAATGCTCTCCAGACCCCTCCATGCTGTCTTAAAGGGTAAGAGATCCTTCTTTTCTACAGCTGCATAGTATTTCATTGTGTATATGTACCACAGTTCTTTTATCCACTCATCTACTGATGGACACTTGGGCTGTTTCCAGATCTTAGCTATTATAAATAGTGCTGCTATGAACATAGGGGTCTCGCCCCTCTTACCAGACTCTAGGTGGCTTCTTTCCTTCCTTTTTAGAAGTCTTCCCTTCAGCTGAAACTTAGTTGGTAATTCCAAGTGAATGTTCCCCAATTTAGTTTTATTTTCAGTCTGGCTCTGGGAAGAGATGCAAGAAAGATCTGCCTATGCAGTTGCCATCTTCCAGCCCACCCCGTGATTTTTCTTAATAGTTTCCTAGATATTTCATTTATTTATATACTTATCTCCAATGTTTCTTATGTGTCCCTTTCCTTTTATTATTATTTTTCCTGGCATAGTTTAAAGTAAATCCCAGATATCATATTACTTTTTCCATAAATACTCCAGAAGATTTCTCTAATATATAAGGATTTTTTTATTAATTAAAATTTATTTTTGTTACAAATGTTTCTCCTTTTCCCCCACTGACACCCCTCCCCCACCCTCCCTGCCCTGTCCCCAGCTTTGTTGTCCATGTCCATTGTTCATGCATACATGCATATAAGTTCTGTGGTTTATCTCCCCCACCACCACCTCTTCTGGGAATAGTCAGTCTGTACCCCACTTCCACATCTCTGGGACTACCCCGTTCCTCAGACTGTTATGTTCATTATATTCCACAAATAAGTGAGATCATGTGATATTTGTCTTTCTCTGCTTGGCTTGTTTTGCTTAGAATAATACTCTCCAGGTCCCTCCATGTCGTCTCAAAGGATAAGAGATCTTTCTTTCTTACAGCTGCATAGTACTCCATTGTGTATATGTACCACCACTTTTTTATCCATTCGTCTACTGATGGACATTTGGGCTGTTTTCAGATCTTAGCTATTGTAAATAGTGCTGCAACAAACATGAGGTTACATATATTCTTTCTGATTGGTGTTTGAGGCTTCTTAGGGTATATTCCTAGAAGTGAGATCACTGGGTCAAATGACAGTTCAATTTTTAATTTTTTGAGGTAACACCATAGTGTTTTCCATAGTGGCTGCACCAGTCTGCATTCCCACCAGCAGTGTACTAGAGTCCCCTTTTCTCCACACCCTCGCCAACACTTGTTGTTTGATGATTTGTTGATGGCGGCCATTCATTGTGGCTTTAATTTGCATCTCTCTAATAATTAGTGACACTGAGCATTTTTTATATGTCTCCTGGCCATTTGTATATCCTGTTGGGAGAAGTGTCTATTCAGGTCCTCTGCACATTTTTAATTAGATTGTAGTCTTTTTTTTGTTGAGTTGTATGAGTACTCTACAGATTTTGGATATTAACCCCTTATCTAATGTATAATTGGCAAATATATTCTCCCAGAGAGTGTATTCCCTGTTTATTTTGCTGTGCAGAAGCTTTTTAGTCTGATGCAGTCCCATTTATTAATTTTTGTAGTTTCTGGGGATGGGTCTCAGCTGCTAGTCTGTGCTTCTGTTGCCTGGGCATGGATTTCTGCTCCCCAGCCTCTGTTGCTGGGGGTATATCTTGACTCTGATCAGGCTGCTATACTATACTGTCACTATGTGAATAATAACCCTAATTAAGTTCTAAAATTACCCTGGTCATCATGGCTGAAGATAAGAATCATATATGATTAACCCCAGAATTTCTAAGTCTATTTCCAATTAATACAATCAAAATTAAAAAGGAAAATGTGAGACTTATAAAAACAGTATAGAGAGAGTCTGCTACATTAAAATAAACAAGCAAATATGGCCTTTGGAATCAAACAACTAGTCTAAATGTACACTTTTTCACAAATTTAGTGCATCTTACTAATTTGAGTTTCAGTTTCCTTACCTGAAGAGTGGGTGCAAATTCCTCTCCTCTGATGCTCACAGAAAATATACATTTTTTCCTTTCATAAGTTACTTAGTGAAATATCCTGAAATATTATCAGAATCACCACTTTCCCTGCCGGTGATAGAAATAACACAAGACTTTGCATCAGCAAATATGAAGCAAAGCCTCTCCTTCCTCCCACCAGTGATTGTGTCATTCTATTAGATAGCAGCAGCTATTTAAACAGTCCAGCAAGAGCTCACACATTTTCACTTTGTGGAAGTTGTTGACTGCTTTACTCTCTCATTCTTGGAGTGTTTGAATATGACTTTTGATGATCTTAAGAGCACGACTATGAAGGATACACCTGATCAGAAGACAAATGGAGAGGAAGTTAAAGGTACTAGGAGTGGGCATATATGTATGTACAGGGACAGAATCCCAGGACTAGCTTAAAATGTATATTAACTGAATATAGAATTAGATAGCTAAAACATGACTATAGAATTAATAACACTTAAAAGAAAAGCAAATCTATCAGATACAATGAAGATGAAGAAGAAGATGATGATAATGATGAATGAACTAACTTGGTTTGCATGGTGATGTAGTAGACAATGATGATAAGTAACTTTTATTGAACATTTACTATGTTTCATGCTATTCATTTTACATGCTTTATTTCTCTGAATCTTCACTCCCTAAGAATTAATACTATTATTATCTTCCTTTAACAGAGGACTAACTGGGAAGCAGGTTTCACAAAATTAACCACTTTTATGCAGCTAGTAAATGGTAGAGCTAGGATTGAATCAAAATCTCCCATTTATCCAGAATCCAATCCATCAGATGGTTCAAAAAATGTTGAATTTACCCAGTGTATACAGTGATGATGTTTATAACAGTCCTTGAGGCATTGCAAAAACTGAATGTATTTCATGAATTTTCCAAAGCAGATAATATAATATTTAGTATGGTTTAGCATAAATTGTGTTGTATTGTCTACCACTGCTTTAAAAAATTATAATTTGTTTGATATATAGTAAGTTAAACTGCTTAAGTAAAAACTAATTATAATCCCCAATCCACAGACAATCTAGATAAATTGCTTTTATCTTATATTCATTTTGAGAGAAAGGAACAAAATATAAAAAGGAAAGTCATACAAATAAAGCCATACAAATTTGGATAAGGAATTCCAGGTCATGTTTTCATAAACAAAATAGGAATTTCTCTCCATAGCAAAAAAAAGTGTGAACATGGGATAATTTAACATTTGAACTAATGAACTTAATTTGATATGAAAACAGTACTGGCATTTGTAAGTAAACCTACAAGCTAACAGTAGTCATTTGCTCATTCATTCATTCATTCATTCATTCTTCATGTAGTAAATACTGAGGGCCTGACTGTTACCACAATTATGAAGTAAATTCTTTTCTTAGAACCTGTTTAGATCAATCACCTACTGCACAAGATCTGACTGCTTTCTAATTAGAAAATCACTAGGAGAGTAGGGGTTGGATGGATGGGCTCTACCTACCAAGGAGATAGGACAAAGGGTGGACTTTAGAAATGGGAACATGTGCCTTCCCTGCACTGGTGTGGACCCTGTGGCTTCTAAAAATTCAGTTTATCACTCAAGAGTGTTGGGCATACTTGATCACCTAGAGTATGTACCTTTATAGAATAGATACTGACCAAGGAACATGTTGATTGAAATATTTACACAGATATTTGCCCCTAAGAGTAGGATTAGGCTATTATTTGCATAGACACAACTATCTTCTCCTTCTCTGCTAATTTGCCATACATATCTAGAAACTTAATAACTTTGAATCAGTAAATGAATATTCCTTACTGTGAAAAATTCTGGTTTTTTTTTTTTTTTTTTCATCATCTGTAGAGCCTAACAGAAATGCTTCTGACACATAAAAACTTTGTAAATGTATTTGACCATTGGTTGATTTATATCATTACCCATTTATACTGGATATTTTGTGATGTAATGTTTCAAGTCATGTAGCTAGTGACAATTGGATTAAAGAACTAAGTTGGGATCTTAGTGGCTGTATGATCTTAGCAAGTCACTAAGCCTTTCAGTTTCCTTATATGCAAATACAGGATAACATATCAGTGCCTCATTTATTTATCTTACAAGAAGAAGAGCCCAAACAAATACATTATATGAGATGTTTTCCTGCTGATCCCAAATATCTGTGCTTTTATAGTGACAGAACACATCATTAGTCATACACACACATATGAGTTACATAATTTTGCTTCTATATTAATGATGATTTTTTTTTTAAATTTTTTTTTTATCCTCATCCGAGGACATTTTTCCATTTTTTGTACAGACAGAGTGGGAGGGAGAGAGAGGAAAACATCGATGTGAAAGGGACACATCGAGTGGCTGCCACCCACACAACCAACCAGGGCCGGGGACAAACTGCAACCGAGGTACGTGCCCTTAGCGGGAACCGAACCTGGGTCTCTCTGGACCGCAGGTGGACGCTCTAACCACTGAGCCAAACCGGCCAGGGCGATGATTTTTTTTCTTGTAACAACAGGGCCACAGCTTGTGTAAGTATAGAACATGACATTAATATGAATCAAGTGAATATTGAGGTTTCATTTCTAGTTCTCTTTGCTCATTAATCTCCATTCCAAGATGTAATTTTAATGAAATAAGAGTTGAATAGCACAACATTATGTTATAATTTTTTGAGACAATATAAGTTAATTGATTAAAGCTTATTTGCCTGACATCAGACATTCATGTATGGCATGTTACTTATAAAGCGCACTTGTGTGTGTGTGTGTGTGTGTGCATAGACTTGCTGTATATTAAAAACATTAGACTCTGCTCTGTGAACATAGTTGATCCAAGCAAGCTGGAGTGAGAATTTCTTGAAGAGTCATTGTCAGGGGGAGTTGACAAAGTATAACCTTTAGAATCAGATACTTATAGTCAACTATCTAGTATTAAATCCTGGATCTTTAATTGTGTCAGTGAGTAAATTATTTAAATTCTTTAATTGTCCAGATATTTTCCATCTGTAAATATGGACAATGAATTATTTGCAGAGTCTTTGGGAGGACTAAAGTAAGTAATGCAAAGTATCAGATACAGATAAGATCCAAAGAATGGTTTGATGAATTGCCTCTATCCTTTTGTCTTTCTGATTCTATCCTCTGTCACTCTAGGTCTTCATTTTCTTTCTTTTCGGTGCTGGTGCCCCTTGGCTGTGACTCTAGGGATCCTTTCTCTGGGATTAATGGTGACCATCATAATGTTGACAATACAATGTAAGTGCTGACACAGGGAAGTGATGGAAGAAAAATAATGAAAGTTTATAAACATGGCTTGTATATTGGTTTCAGAATACCTACAAACAACCTTGATTTAGATACATTTTAGACAAACTGTTTTTAGAATGAGAGGGAAGATGAAGGTTATATTGTGCTAGTATCTGAAACTGATTGAGGCATAAAATGAAGCTTATGCACTTCAGGTTTTTGTTTAGATTAGTTTTCACAACTTTATGGGTAGAACCTATGTAAATCCTAAAACAATGAGAAAGAAAAATAATTTGAAGCTAATTATTCACAAGATCATCTGAGAGACCCCAAAGCAAAAGAAACCTCATTTAGCTCCTGTTGAGTTGATTAATAGATTATTAAATACCAATTTAAAGTTAAGAACCAGAAACAAAGTTTTAATAAATAAAACATTAAAAGAAACATACTTCAAATTTATTGTATGGACATTTTGGAAAGAGGTTGTTTAGAGAAAAAGAAGTGAAAGAAAGAAGTGGCCAAGGAGGAAAGGAAACGGAGCCGATTCTCCACCTGTGTATTTAGATTGTAGATCTGAGTTATTTCGGCTCTCTAGACCCAGGTTATCAGGCCTTTAAAGTGCTATTTCTTTTTCAATTGTTGTTTAAGGTCACAAACCATTTATTTTTTCAATCGATTAGGCACTAAGGCCTTTCCTAATGATGGGAGAAGTACCCTTGAGGAGATTGGAAGAATCTTACTCTGGGGCTCTGATCCCTTTACAACAAGGTCAAATCTTGCCTTCACAGCAGGGAGACTGCTTTGTACTGAACCATCAAGCTCCTAGAACTGAGATATTTGATCCTTCACATTGCTGCCTACTTGATTTCACAACCTTTATCTCATCTCCACACTTTCTAAAATGTGCTGTGGCAAAACAAAACAAAATTCGAGACTCTTAAGAGACAGACACTTAAAATAATTCTGTAGGAAGATGTCTCAAAAAGAGAGTGAGTATCATAGTTCCTAAATAAAATTAGGAAGTCTGAAAAGGTAGAAAGAGATGACAGAAGAATGAAGACACAAATATAGTAAATCATTAATGACATTCCTACTGGGAGTCACTAATTCTGGTTGGTGACTATTTGTAGATGGTCTATATTTTAATTATGCCACTGATACTTACCTTGAAATTGCTCTTAACTTTTGTGTAACTAAATAACAAGTAAAACCTTGATAATATTTTAACCACAAGCATCTGTGACAGTTCCAAATTTTTAAAAAATATGTATTACAGAAATATCAAAAAACTTTCAAATCTATAATTTTTTAGTAAATTTGAGTTATTTTCCAGCAATTTATTTGTTGTCAGAATAGATTGATTCAATTGTTTGATTTCTTCAAAATCCAGTAGCGGGATTTTTATTGGGGACTAGAAATGAAATCTTTTTTTTTTTTTTTAATTTATCTTTATTGTTGAAAGTCTTATAGATGTCCATCTTTTTTCCCCCATTGACACCCTCCTCCCCACTCCTGCCCTGCCCTGCCTTCACTGCACTGTCGTCTGTGTCGTCTATGCATATATACATGTAGGTTCTTTTGTTTATCTCTTCTGGCCCCTCCTCTCCTCTTTCCTCTGAGGTTTTTCAGTCTGTTCCCTACTTCCATGTCTCTGGATCTATTTTGTTCGTCAGTTTAATTTGTTCATTAGATTCCACAAATAAGTGAGATCATGTGGTACTTGTCTTTCTCTGACTGGCTTATTTCGCTTGACATAATACTCTGCAGGCCCCTCCATGTCATCCCCCAAAATTAGAGATCTTTCTTTCTTACCACTGCATAGTATTCCATTGTGTAAATGTACCACAGTTTTTTTATCCACTCATCTACTGATGAACACTTGGGCTGTTTCCAGATCTTAGCAATTGTAAATAGCGCTGCTATGAACATAGGAGTACATATATTCTTTCTGATTGGTGTTTCAGGCTTCTTAGAATATATTCCTAGAAGTGGGATCACTCAGTCAAATGGCAGTTTTATTTTTAATTTTTTGAGGAAATATATTTTTTCCATAGTGGCTGCACCAGTCTGCATTCCCATCAGCAGTGTACTAGAGTACCCTTTTCTCCACACACTCGCCAACACTTGTTGTTTGATGATTTTTGATGGCAGCCGTTCTGACAGGTGTAAGGTAATACCTCATAATTGTTTTAATTTGCATCTCTCTAATAATTAATGACACTGAGCAAGTTTTCATATGTGTCGTGGCCATTTGTATATTCTGTTGGGAGAAGTGTTTATTCAGGTCCTCTGCCCATTTTTATTTGGATTGTAGTCTTCTTTCTGTTGAGTTGTGTGAGTGCTCTACAGATTTTGGATACTAACCCTTTATCCAATTTATAATTGGCAAATATGTTCTCCCAGAGAGTGGGTTCCCTTTTCGTTTTGATGCTGGTTTCTTTTGCTGTGCAGAAGCTTTTTAGTTTGATGTAGTCCCATTTATTAATTTTTTCTTTTGTTTCTCTTGCTCTTGGTGATGTATCAGTGAAAATTCTGCTATTTCTGATGTCTGAGATTTTGCTGCCTACACTTTCTTCTAGGATTTTTATGGTTTCATGAGTTACATTTTAGTTTTTTATCCATTTTGAGTTTGTCCTTGTGTATGGTGTAAGTTGGTTTTTTCGCATGTACCTGTTCAATTTCCCCCACACCATTTATTAGAGACTGTCTACTCCATTGTATCCTCTTGCCCCCTTTGTCGATTGTTAATTGTGCATAATATCTTGTGTTGATTTTTTTTTTTTTAAATCCTCACCCGAGGACATTTTTCCATCTTCTATTCAGGTCGAGTGGGAGGGAGAGAGAGGAAGAGAGAGAGAGAGAGAGAAACATCGATGTGAAAGGAACACATCGAGTGGCTGCCACCCGCACAACCGACCAGGGCCGGGGACAAACTGCAACCGAGGTACGCGCCCTTAGCGGGAACCGAACCCGGGTCTCTCAGGACCGCAGGCCGACACTCTAACCGCTGAGCCAAACCGGCCAGGGCTCTTGTGTTGATTTTTGAGTTCTCTCTTCTATCCCATTGATCTAAATGCCTGTTCTTGTGCTAGTACCAAGTTATTTTGATTACGATGGCTATAAGATCTTAATTCAGTTACAATTTAGTATCCCAGGTATCTGATCTTCTAAAGCAACAGCAAGCAAACCTTACTGACAAGGAAAATATACTGGAGGGACAGATTTCAGCCCAGAAGCAGGAGAAAAAGGCATGCCATGAGTTACAGAGAGAGCTCAAGGAGATGATTGAAACCCTTGCCCAGAAGCTGGATGAGAAATCGAAAAAACTAATGGAACTTCATCAACAGAACCTGAATCTCCAAGAAGCTTTAAAGGAAGCAGCAAATTTTTCAGGTATGTGTTAGAAGCTCCTTTAATTAATCTTAACTCGTTTTTGGAAAAACCTCTAGGCACAAAACCGGCATATTGATGCATGTATCATTTTTACATAATGTTACAACATCATTTCATAATGTTCTACAGCAGAAGTTCTCTATTTCTATTATCCTCACCATATCCTCCATCAAATTCTTGAGATATCAGATTTAATTAAGCATACTTTTGGTGGATTTAAATTTTTCTTTCTCATAATAGTTTTATTTCTTTGTAAAATTCTAGTTTAAAGATTTTTTGGGAAGAATCCTTCTACCCTTACCCCTTGCCACAAAATCTCATTTCATTGCATTCACTGAATTCCTTTCCTAAAGAGTCTCCTTTGTCCCTGAAATTCCTACCTTTACTTTGGCTTTATTCTATAGCACTATTTCCTAAAGTGTATGACATCAATTTTAATTGAATCACTGAAGATAGGTTGGCTTAGAAGTGCTTGGTAGATAGTTCAAATTAGTGAAAAATCTGAGGGGCCCAGGAAGTCACTTTATAGGAGAAGGATTGAATTGATCTCTGCTGTGTGTAATGGACTCAGGAGGCAGGTCGAAATAGTAGCATATATAAGAAAAAGATGATACTATGAATTCTGAGGTTATTATGAAATTATCTGACTTACTTAGTCTTTCTAGAGTGTGTAATTAAGACAGGCATATGCTTTTAGTAATAAGGAAAGTTAGAGGGTGTGAGATGAAGTATGTTGCTTCCTTGAAGCATTAATAACTACCACTAAAAACAGAGATATCTCCAGTTTCTTGCTTGTACAGCTCAGTTAGTCTCAACCATGTGATTTCTTTGAATATTATGTAATAACAGTCCACAGATAACTATATGATACCTTTATTTTGTAGATGAAAAATTGAAACCCAGATAAGTTAAATGATAATAGTAATAAGTTAAGTTTTTCAGTTTATAAATCCCTTTAACATTTATAAGGTCATTTAAACTTACAAAATAAGCATAAATTTTTGGACAAACTTATCTTTAACTACTGTCAAATATGTATTTATTATTATTATTTTTAAATTTTTTAAATTGATTTTAGAGAGAGAGGGAGAAAGAGAGATAGAAACATCGATGACAGAGAACATCAATTGGCCGCCTCCTACATGCCCCTCACTGAGGATTTGGCCCACAACCTGGGCATGTGCCCTGACCGGGAATCGAACTGGTGACCTCTTGGTGCATGGGTCAATGCTCAACCACTGAGCCACATCAGCCAGGCATGTATTTAATCTCTTTAAGGGAGTTATTGAAGAAATAAAAAATACCCCATCTCAAAGAAGGCTTAAAGGAAGAAGGCTAGTATATAAATACAAATGTTTATAAAAGCAGACAGAGCTACATACCAGCTAATGGTTTATTTCACAGGTGGAGCTGTAAAAACATTTTTGTTTTTATCAGTTGGATGGAATTACATTTACATCAGGACCATGCAGAACCATCTCCCAGAGATGCCAGGCATAGATAACTAATTAAAAATAATAAGCAGTATGTCTTTCACCAATAGATATACTAGACAACATGCTCCATTCCTTGACAGTTTCAGGTAATGGCTAGTCAGTAGTAATACCAAAGATTTCATCAGGCAGATTTGAGATGATCAATAACATTAATAATAAAATACCATATGGAAAAAAGTGTCAGCTTTCTCAAGTTTGAGACAAATTTTATCTTTCTTACTGATAAGTCTGTGTCCCTCAGTGACATGAAGAGGGAGGGATGCTGAGAAGTTACATATGTGGTTTGCTTGAAGTTATCCAGCTGGAAAGATTCAGGGTCTTTGTAATAACAGACTTTACACTTAGCTCCAGAATTAGTGGTGCTTCTCAACCTTGAGTGTACAAAATTATCACCCAAGTAGCTTTTCAAAAATGGCAGGTTTACCCCAATATATGTATCAGAAAGCCTTGTGGGGCACCAAGAAATATTTCCTCAATTGACTCCACCTCAGAGGTTTGACAGGTCGTCTGATGTGGGGATTAAACACACGGACACTCGAATTAGACTGCCTGGGTTCCAACTTCGTTTTCTCTGTCTGTCAAATGAAGAAAGTAAACGGAACCTCTGTTACAGTGTTGTTATGAGGATTAGACAAGTTAATAGATGTAAAGTATGGCCAACAGTTTTTATATTTATTAAATAAAAACAATTAAATAGTAAATAAATAATAATTAAAATAAATACAGGTGGTTTCTGTACCATATATTGGGATATGTCTTCCTCACTTTGTCATAGATGGGAAAACCTGCCTAGGTTGCCTTTTAGTCCACACAAACCAATACAGCAGTGAGCAAAAATAGGTTAATAATAATAATGATAAATAATACAATAATTAATAAATGAATAACGATACAAGAATAAATTCTGTGTTTCATGTACTCACAACTGTAAAACTACTTTTGCCTACCCTATATATGTTTTCCTTTTACATGAAATGACGGACCAGGCAAAATAAAAAGTAAAAACTTGCTTTCGGTGCCTTCACCCTATTCTTTCCATGTCCTTCCTCATTCACTTTTTTTTTTTTTTTTTTTATCCTCACCTGAGAATACTTTTCCATTTTTGTACAGATAGAGTGGGAGGGAGAGAGAGGAAGGGAGAGAGAGAGAGAAACATCGACGTGAAGGGACACATCGAGTGGCTGCCACCCGCACGACCAACCAGGGCCGGGGACAAACTGCAACCGAAGTACATGCCCTTAGAGGGAACTGAACCCGGGTCTCTCCGGACTGCAGGTCGACGCTCTAACCGCTGAGCCAAACTGGCCAGGGCATTCCTCATTCACTTTCTTCCTCCATAGCTCATACCCTCCTACTTTCTCCTCTCTGATAAAGCGTACTCTTATAAAATTATCTAATGACTTTATGCCACAGTGAAAATTCAAATTAAAATGTTGCCTTTCTCAAGGATTTTAGTTGTTTTTATTTTTTGATATAGCATAGACCAAGGGACTCTATTTCTTATTAAAGAGATTCCAGTGCTACTAACACAGTGAAGAGTTGATGATGATGATGATGAGGAGGAGGAGGAGGAGGAGGAGGAGAAGGAGGAGTAGGAGGGAGAGAAGGGAGAGGAGGGAGAGGAGGAGGATTTGGGGTTCTTCAAAGTATCCATAAACATATTGACATTGATAAATTTCACCTATTGCCTAAGCCCTCGGTTGAGCTTTTGGGAGTCTGTGAGGATTTTGCAAATGAAAACTCCCTGTTTTCTGAAATCTTACTGAAATTAAGCTGTTCACATTGTATCAATATACTGTTCTCGCTAGAACATCTTTATTTTAAAAAATATAGTGTGTACCACATATGCAACATTATTCTAATAACCACACTTAAAAATGAAAAAGAAACAGATACAAGTAATTTTAGTAACATTTTATTTAATCCAATATATTTGAAAAGTTTTCTAACACTAATCAGTATAAAAATTAATGGGATATTTTACTTTTTTTATCGTACTAATTTAAAAAATTTATGCATCTGTTTCACACTTATAGCACGTCTTAATGCAGACTGCCCATAATTCAAGTACTCAAGAGCCACATATGGGCTACTACATATACAACAAGTGTCTTAAATGAGGAAGCATGGTATTTAAACCTAAATCTATTATTTATTCAAAGACAGAAAGTTATAAACTACATAAGCATACTTTTAAAAAATCCTCACCTGAAGATATATTTATTGATTTGAGAGAGAGGGGTGGGGGGAGAGAGAGAGAGAGAGAGAGAGAGAGAGAGAGAGAGACATAGATGTGAGAGAGAAGCACTGATTTGTTGCTTACTACACATGTCCCAACCAGGGATTAAACCGAAAACCTAGGTATGTGCCCTGACCAGTAATCCAACCCCCAACCCTTTGGTGCATGGAACGATGCTCCAACCACCTGAGCCAGCTGGCCAGGGCCATAAGCATATCTTCAATAGCAGAATTGCTATTAAGTATTTTCCCAATTCTCACTTTCATTATCCCAAACTTAACTTTTGAAAAATAGATCAGATTCTAAAATTACACGCCAGCCCAAGCCTTGCATTTGTTTTTATCTTCACCCGAGGACATTTTTCTATTTATCATCAGACAGAGTGGGAGGGAGGGAAGGAGAGAGAGGGAGAGAGAGAAACATTGATGAGTCTCGCATTGACTGGCTACCTCTGGCACGACCCGACGAACTGCAGCCGAGGTACGTGCTCTTGACCAGAATGGAACCCACGACTCACTGGTCTGAGGGTCCTCACTCTCACCGCTGAGCCAAACTAGCCAGGGCCCAAGCCTTGCTTTTTAACAGCTGTGCTTTCTAATTTAGTTTACTAAAATCAGAATTCTTTTCCTTTTACTCCAAAAAGTGAGGTGTTTGCAGAGGTATAATTCTAATTCAGAAGCGATGGTATGCATGTGAGAATTCTGGGGGGAGACTTGATTTAAGCGTTATAGGGGAAAATGTATAAAAAAGTAATTATAGAAATATTTTTACTCAGGCGTAATTCACATATTCCACATTTTCTAGGTCCTTGTCCCCAAGACTGGCTCTGGCATGAAGAAAACTGTTACCTATTTTCCTCTAACCCATTTAATTGGGAAAAAAGCCAGGAGCACTGCTTGTCTTTGGATGCCCAGATGCTGAAAATTAACAGCACACATGATCTGGTGAGTTTTTATGGATGTGTGTAGGCGGTGTATTGACTTGGAGGGAAATCAATCAGGTTTCGGCCCTCCGTGGAGGGGCCCTGGTTTGAGAGTCAGAATACCTGTTTACTAGCTTAGCCTAGCCACAAATTCCATACATGGCCTTTGACGGACAGGTTATAGAATATCTCTAGGCTTCAATAAATGTTTCTGTGAAACCATCGAGAGGATATTAAAGATCTCTTTCAGTGCTTTAGTTTTGTGAATCTGTAAAACTACCACACTGACTCCAACATCAACTCAGACATGTTGCTCCCCACAGGAATTCATCAAGCAAGCGAGTGCCCATTCCAATTTCCCCTTCTGGACCGGGTTGTCTCTGAGAAAACCCAGCGACTCGTGGCTCTGGGAGGATGGCTCTCCTTTGATGCCCCACGTGTAAGTTCCCTGTTCTTTGCTGAACCTACCGGTGAAGTTACTGCAGACTTCCACACGATGCTCTTCCTGCCAGAGAGAAGCTCTGACAATTCCCCAGCGTCTCCTTCCCCACCCCCCTCACAAAGGGACCTGGCCTTTTCTGAAGTTTTCCTTCCCACAGTTATTACTGCGTTGAAACTTGGGACCAGGTTCAATTCTTGACACAAGGTGGCAGTAATCTTTTTTTTTTTTTGTCACCACCTACATACAGGTTTAGACTCCAGGGAGCTGTTACCCAGAAGTATCCTTCAGGCACCTGTGCATATATTCATAGAGGAATTGTTTTTGCTGAAAACTGCATTTTAAATGCCTACAGTATATGTCAGAAGAAGGTGACTCTATTGAGAGTGCAGTGAATTTGAAGGCTCTGGAAGAAAAGGAGGAGCCCGTCTTTGGATTCTCTTCTGGAATTTTTAAGCTATTCTTCCTCACTTGGGTGCAAACCTTGAGAGCCCCCAAAACAGATGCTAGCTGACTGCAGAGCTCATAGCAGAAAACAGGGCTCCAGCCGCCAGATGCCTTTGTAGCAGAAGTTTCTATTCTATCTCTGTCTATATTTTTTCACCCATTGTCCAGAGCTTCCCAGCCAGCCTTTGGTCTCTCTTCCTTTTTATATTTTAATGTTTTGCACTTCTTCAAGCTCTGGGAACCCCCTCTACCTCGTTGCCATGTTCCCGTCACCCTCTTAAAACTGCATAGATGTTAGAACAGGGAGGCATTGCCCAACTGCAGACAGGGCGCAAAAAACAGGAAGCTGTGTGGGAAACAGAGCGCATGAAGAAATCGAAAAGGTCATAGTGAAATCAAGAAACTCACGTCCTCAACGTTAAAAGATACCACTTGTTGGTCTTTGAAATCCTGGTTTCTCTCCAGACTCTCCCACTTACACACACACACAAACACACACCCCATATCCTCACATTTTGGGGCAACTGGAATGTTTCAGGAAGTAATTAGAAATTGGACGGTCTTTTCTGTGAACTAATCTACAGTTAAATATCAGTTCCTGAATCAGTTATTTCTTCATCTTTTCTCTATCAAAAGGCAGCTTAATACCTTTAATTCTTCCAAATAGTATTAGTTAGATTCATGGGGTAGATGGCCCAGAGGGAAAAACAGTTAATTTTTTTTTTCTGCTGCAGTACATACCTTTTATTGATGACCTCCTCTCAATTCTGTTATACTATGCTATAATGAAGAAACACACAAGACCAAAAACTAATGACATTCAACTCTAGAGCAAACTGAGCCAGGTCTGAAAATATTACTGTATAGAAACAAATGGAATTAGAAATATTTCTTCTATTTTCAGTGCTTCTACTCACTTCTACCTTCCTTCACAGGTTAGCCTTTCCATCTGGTTACACATAATCTAAAAAAAAAAAAAAACCAAAACTTTTCAGATTTGTTATTTAAAACAAACAAACAAAAAAACTCTATCATCCCTAGGAAGACAAGAAAGATTTTCTTTTATTAGTAGACTTATAATAAACTGAACATATATAAAGTACACAACCAGTAAGTTTTCACATATGTAAACATGTTCCCTTGAAATCATCACCACCATCAGGATAGTGGGCATATCCACCGTCCCCTATTCATCACACTCCTCCCTCCCACCTCCCTCCAGACAGCTACTAATCTGCTTTTGGTTTGCAGTTTATAGTATTTTATATGAATAAAATCATACAGTATGCCTTTTTTCTTTATTTTTGTCTAGCTTCTTTCACTTAGCATAATTATGTTGAGATTCATCTCTCTTTTTGTTTTTATCAATTTTTCATTCCTTTTAAATGTTGATATTATTCTCTTATGTAAATAGACACAATTTGTTTATCCATTTACCTGTAGATACCATTTGGGTTCTTGAAAAGAACTATTACAAATAAAGCTGCTATGAACATTTGTGTACCAATCTTTGTGTGAACAGAATTTCTCTTCTCTTGAGTAAATATTTATAAAGGCAATGTTTTACATTCAGTAGGTGCACATTTAGCTGCTAAGGAACCGCCACACTGTTTTCCAGAGTGGTACCATTTTGCATTCCTGTTAGCAGTGTACTAATGTTCCAATTCCACTTCGTCAGTGTGTAGTCTTGGTCTGTCAGTCTTGTCATTTTAACCATTCTGACAAGTATGCAGTGGTATACCATCGTAGTTTTAATTCGCATTTCCTATCTGAAAAAGTTGACTTTTACATGCTTATTTATTATCTTTTTTTTTTATTTTTATTTATTTTTTTATCCTCACCAGAAGACATTTTTGCATTTATCTTCAGATAGAGCAGGAGGGAGAGAGGGAGGGAGAGAGAGAGAAACATCAATGTGAGAGAGACACATCGAGTGGTTGCCACCCACATGACCCCAGACCAGGGCTGGGGACAAACTGCAACCAAGGTATGTGCCCTTCGCGGGAACCAGACCGGGGACTCTCTGGTCTGCCAGCTGACGTTCTAACAGCTGAGCCAAACCAGCCAGGGCTATTTATTATTTTATATGCTTAGTTATTATTTGTATATTTTCCTGGATAAAGTCACCTAAAATTTTTTTGAGAATTTTTATTTGAGTTATTTGTTTTCTTATTATTGAGTTTTAAAAGCTCTTTGTACTCTGGATAAAAGTTTTTTAGTAGATATTGTTTTGATAAGATTTTTTTCAGTTTATACCTTTTTGTTGTTTTGTTCTCTGAACAGTGTACTCAGAAATGCAGAAGTTTTAGATTTTGATGAAGTCCACATTCTTGTTTCTATTTTTTCTAGAAGTTTGTTTCCTAACTTAAGGTCACATAAATTTTCTCCTATGTTTTCTTTGGGAAAATTTATAGTTTCAGATTTTACATAGAAATCTGTAACTTAATTTGTGTTAATTTGTGAGTTATGTATCAAAGTTCTTCTTCTTTTTTTTTTGTTTTTGTTTGTGGATATTCAATTATTTAAGTGACATTTGCTGAAAAGACACTATTTGTTCTTCACTACCTTGGCTTTGCACTTTGTCAACAATCAGTTATTCATATGTGCATCAGTCAATTTCAAGACTCTGTTCTGTTCCATTGATATATTTGTATATTTTTACACTGCCAGGGTATTTTGAATACAGTAATTTTATAATATATCTTGAAATAATTTAGCAGGAGTTCAACTTCTTTTTCAATCTTGTTTTGACTTATCTATGTTTTTGCATTTTCATGTTAATTTTTGAATTGCCTTGTCAATTTCAAAAACACTTTTCAAATTTTGAATGCAATTACATTAAATTTATAGATTAGTTTGAAAAATATTTAAACCTGTAAAATATTGATTTGTTCAACTCATGAACAAGGTGTATCTCTTCATTTATGTGGATTTTTTTTATTTCTCTCCACACTGTTTTGTAATTTTCTCTGTACAGATGTTTCCCATATTCTGCTAGATTATCATTACATATTTCCTATTTTCGATGCTAGCATAGATGATTTTGTTATAGTTTGTAATTTTAATTTCTATTGCTAACATAAAAAAATTACAGCATAGTTTTAGATACTAACTCAATATTCTGAAACCTGGATAAACTCACTTATTTCTTCTAGTAATATTTTTTATATATTCCTTGGATTTTCTACATATATAATTATGTTGTCTACTAATAAAAACACTTTTATTTCTTTCTTTCCAACCCGGATGCTTTGATTTTCTTTTGCTTGTTTTCATAGACTAGAACCTCCGGTTCAGTGGAGAGCAGAGTAGTGAAAGTGTGCACCCTTCTTTTGTTCTTTACGTTGGGAAGAAGCCATTCCGTGTTCTAGCCAGTGCTCCATAAACTCTGACCTTTCCCAGCCTTGCTGTAGGGAAAGGGAACTGTTCTCTGCCCTGGGTGAACACTGGGTGTTCTTTCCTGTATTCCTTTCGTAGGGTTCTTTCTCCGATCCCTCTGGTAGTTCCCTCGCACCGATGCTCTGATCCGTACCCTACTGGCTACTCTCGAGACCCTCTACAGATCTCTGGGTTCTCTCTCTGCGCAGCTCGTGGCTCTTTTGTATTCTCCTCTGAACTCTCGTGCCTTTGTCTTTCTCAGTGCAGGTGTTTGCCAGCATCCTCTTCAGTTCCCCTTCCCCGTGTGTGGCCTGCAAACTCTGTTAACATGGTAAGCTGGGCAACCACAGAGTTCACCTTCTTTCTTTTCCATCTCTCATGGATCATTGTTCTTTTTCCCCTTCTATTTCTAGTGTGTTTTGTTTTGTTTTTTATAATTCTTTAATATATTTGTTTGTCTTTGATTGGTTGGCTGTGTCAGGTTGGACGGTAAATCCAGTCTTTGTATTCCATCTGGTCCTAAGCAAAGGTGCAGGGGAAGAGTTTTGTAACTGGGTACTTAAGTTTCTCTTTCCAGTGAAGCTATTGGTATCAGAAAAAATTCTAGTCCCAGAATGAAAGAAGAATTTTTTGCCTCTGTATCTGGTTCAGTTTATATTTCCAAGCTGATGACAGAACTGTTTTCTTTTAATTTTTTTTTTTTTTTTTATCCTCACCCTAGGACATTTTTTCGTTTTTTGTTCAGATAGAGTGAAAGAAAGAGAGAGAAAGAGAGAGAAAGAGAGAGAGAGAGAGAGAGAGAGAGAGAGAGAAACATCGACGTGAAAGGGACACATCGAGTGGTTCCCACCCGCACGACCCAACCAGGGCCGGGGACAAACTGCAACCAAGGTACATGCCTTTAGCGGGAACCTGAACCCGGGTCTCTCTGCACCGCAGGCCCGACGCTCAAACCGCTGAGCCAAACTGGCCAGGGCCAGAGCTGTTTTCTTTAGTGAAACAGACAGTGCCTGTGAGCCACTATCAATTGCTCTTCCTGTTTCCCTCTCCAGTTTTCACAGATTCTGGTGATTTGTTTTCCCAAACCGCACAGTCAGAGGCAATTACCCTAATTGGATCGATCCTGGGGATCTCTCTCTCTCAGTTTATATGCTGCTTATTGATCCCAAACACGTAAATATTCTCCTTGTTACTGTTTAAATCAAGGCTGAAGCCTATTTAGGTATGCCCTGAAAGCTGACTGCTTTTTATGTTTTTAAAGTTTTATATTAAAAAACATGAAGCACAGACTGTGAGTGATCCACAGTCTAGAATATTTACTCTCTCATCCTTTGCAGAACAAACTTTGCTGACCCTTGATGTAAATAACTTAATGTCTATACGTGTTTATTTCTCATGAAAGAAATGCACCGGGACTCTGCATTTGGACAACCTGAGTTCAAATCGAGGTCCATCACTTAATTCCTATCACCTAAGGCAAGTCACTTAGCATTTTATTACTTTGATTTTCTAAATTAAATGATAGTAAAAATACTAGGAACTTATAGGTCCTTATACCCTATCTATTAGTTCATAGATATTTGAGGATTTAATGAGGTAGTAGTTAGATACTACTTCAGATAATGCCTAGGATTTGGTAAGAGTTTGAAATATGTTAGCTATTTGTTCATCTTTTCCTTCTTTTTATAAGGTCCTCCAAGTGTTTTGTTTTATGTTCCATTAATAACTTAGTTTTTTAAATTTAATTTATTGAAGTGACTTTGGTTTACAAAGCCATACAGGTTTCTTTTGTTGTTGTTGTTAATCCTCACTACTCGAGGATATTTCTCCACTGATTTTTTTTTTTAATAGAATGGAATGGAGAAAGGAAGGGAGAGAGAAACAGAGAGAGAGAGAGAAGAGAGAAACATGGATGTGAGAGAGACACATCAATTGGTTGCTTTCCGCATGACTGCCACCTGGCGGGGGGGTGGGGGGGGTCAAACCTGCAACCCAGGTGAATGCCCTTGACCAAGAATCGAACCTGAGACCCTTCTGTACATGGGCCTATGCTCTAACTGCTGAGCCAAACCAACTAGGGCTCTCTCTCTCTTTTAAAAAAATATATCTTTATTGTTGAAAATATTACACATGTCCTTCCTTTTTACTCCACTACCCCCCTTCACCCTCCTCCTGCCCTACCCCAGGCCTTCACCGCACTATTTATTGTCTTTGTCCATGGATCATGCATATATTTGTAAAAGTTCTTTGGTTTATCTCTTCCTGTCCCCTTCACCCCTTCCCTCTGATATTTGTCACTCTGTTCCCTGCTTCTATATCTTGGATCTATTTTGTTCATTAGATTTCACATATAAAAGAGATCATGTGATATTTGTCTTTCTTAGACTGCCTTATGTTGATTAGCATAATACTTTCCTGGTCCCTCCATGCTGTATCAAAGG